CCCCCCCAGGGGACCCCAAGCCCCCCCCAGGGTCACCGAGGCCCCCCCAAGGGACCCCAAGCCCCCCAGGGTCACCGAGCCGCCCCCCCAGGACTTGGGGACCCCCAGGTGCCACCAGCCGCTGTCCGAGGCCGCCCTGGTGGCCGCGGGGACGCCGTGACCTCGATGCCGCGGGGACACCGGGCTGCCGCCAACGGGTCGAGAGCGCCGTGATCAGGGGACAACGCGGTGTCACCTCGGGTCCCGCGGTGTCACCTGAGCCCCTCGGTGTCCCCTGAGCCCCGCGGTGTCACCTGAGCTCCTCGGTGTCACCCTGAGCCCCTCAGTGTCACCTTGAGCCCTCAGTGTCACCCTGAAACCCTCAATGTCACTCTGAGCCCTCGATGTCACCCTGAGCCTCTGATTGTCACCCCAGGTCCCTCGGTGTCACCCCAAGCTCTCGATGTCACCCCCAGCCCTCGGTGTTCCCTGAGCCCCTCGATGTCACCCTGGGTCCCTCAATGTCACCCTGAGTCCCCCACAGCACCCTGGGCCTCTGATTGTCACCCCAGGTCCCTCGGTGTCCCCTGAGCCCCTCAGTGTCACCTCAGTCCCTCAGTGTCACACCAGGTCCCTCCATGTCACCCTGAGCTCTCCATGTCACCTCGGGTCCCTCGGTGTCACCCCGAGCCCCTCGATGTCCCCTGAGCCCCTCGATGTCACCCCCAGCCCTCGGTGTCACTCCGGGTCCCTCAATGTCCCCTGAGCCCTCAGTGTCACCCTGGGTCTCTTACTGTCACTCTGAGCCCCTCGGTGTCACCCCAAGCTCTCGATGTCCTCGTCACCCCCAGCCCTCGGTGTCACCCTGAGCCCTTGATGTCACCCGAGCCCCTCGATGTCACCTCGGATCCCTCGGTGACACCCCAAGCTCTCAGTGTCACCCCGGGTCCCTCGATGTCCCCTGAAACCCTCAATGTCACCCTGAGCCCTCAGTGTCCCCTGGGCCTCTTGATGTCACCCCGGGTCCCTCGATGTCACCTCAGGTCCCTCGATGTCACCCCAAGCTCTTGATGTCACCCTGAGCCCCTCGATGTCACCTTGGGCCTCTGATTGTCACCCCGGGTCCCTCAGTGTTCCCTGAGCCCCCCACAGCACCCTGGGG